GAATCTGATAGACGGCGTGGAATTTTCTCCTTCGCCGCCACGGCAATCTCAAAAGGATGAATGGCTTCGATCTTTGACACAAATTTTGCCAAGTATGTTCAACATATAGTACGACCACAGGTACTCCCTRAATATGATTTACTCATTTTCGGGAGGATATTAAACACTACACAACCCTCCCAAAATGAAACCGATAGGGCTGCGGATGGTTATAATGACGTCCTGGTCATTCATATGTTAGCACACGAGGAACAATRGTACAAGGACGGAGCTAACAAGGCTTTGAATCTTCTTATGGATGCCTATGAATCCTGTGAAGGTGAATTTTGAAAAGACTAATTTTATGATTGGAACTAAAATTAATATTTTAAATTATTATTATTTTATATTTTGTTTTTAAAATAAATATATTATGATATATAATAAACCTAATATTATAATTATATATTTTATGTTTATTTTTAAATCTCTTCTAGTTAATTGAGTGAAAATCACAAAAATTTGTGAACGACCGGGAGACCTATTGGGTTAAAGCATCAATGKAATTAGATGGAGGTCAAGGGTTCGATGCCCAATCCGTTATATTATCGTTTTTTTCAAGGGTAAAAATATAAGTCGCGCACTTATGCCAAGTGCGGCGGCGGCCCATGTTGGTAAGGGAATTACTGATAACAAATGATAACTGATAAAATATATGTCGCGTACCTACGTACGCGATCGGTAATGGGTGCGGGTGCAGAAGGTGCGGTTTCAGAACTCCCCAAATCATTCTACTACTTAGGTATTTGAGAATTTAGATTTGTGTTTGAAGTAGTGTCCCGTTTTACATCGATTATGGGGTGGGGTACATTTTTATGGTTATCAGAAGTTTTTTTTTTGATTGAAGCGACGATTGAAATTCTTTATGAATAGGACATCCTCGATAACTGGCTGAATGGCTTCCTCTTCAAAGGGCACATTTTRCTGGGAGATTAGTTGCTTTTTGACAGACTGTTGATAGATGATTATCTCCACAGTGGACACATTTTGGGGGTATGGCTACAGTATGCCTTTGTGTGGTCAAACCCTTGGCAGCGAAGGCATTGTATTATTTGTTTATAAGGACGTG